AAAAACAACCACAAAGGATCATCACATTTATCTGTTTTGTTGTGAAGAATGTAAACAAATACTACAAACATAAGCTAAGTTAAACTAATAGATACTTTTATAATTTTAAAGGCAAATCTCTCTAGAACTATAATTTTAAAGGTGAATCAAGGAAGCCATTATAACCTTAGTTTATGTTTTGGGATGCCATTTAATCGAAGATTGTTGATGATATATTGTACTTTCATCTAACATCAAGCCAAAAAAAAGAAAAAAAACTTTGAGATAATAGATGAAAAAGAACAGAATAAACAACAACAACAACATCCCAGTTGAATCCCACTACAGTAGGGTCTGGGGAGGGTGTGTGTACGCAGACCTGGCCCCTACTCGGAAGTAGGGAGGCTGTTTCCAAGAGACCCCCGACACAGTATAGTACGGGTAAAGCACCAAGTACAAGCAACAAGTACAAGCAATAGCAGAAGATACCAAACAAACACAACACACTACAAACAACCGCTATAGCACCGAGCTCCTATCCAGCTACTCTAATCCTAGTTCTCCAAAGGTTCCTATCTAACATCAAGCCAAAAAAAAGAAAAAAAAACTTTGAGATAATAGATGAAAAAAACAGAATAACTAAACTTAATTGAAGATGATTTTTGATTGGTATAAAATTTTTACAAAAAATAATGAGAATATTATTTTTTAAGGAAATAATGAGAATATTATTTTTTTAAGGAAATGAACTGTTCTACCTCGAAAGCAAAGAAACCACCCGGTTGCAGCACTGAAGTAGCTCCCTTGCAAAGATGCAAAAGATCTTTTAAACCATCTGGTCCACCATTCAACGCCAGTTTTGGTTCATGTTTAGCAACTTCAGAAAAAAGGTTCTCCAAGAAATTTCAATTGTTTGAAGAACTCGATCATGCGTCTTTTCTTTTGACACAATGCAATTCAAATCTAATCAGAGAAAGAAATTGAAACGGAAGCAATTTAGCAAGTAAAGTGTCATGAATCGTAAATCAATTTAGGCATAGCATATTTGAAAATATTATCTGAAATTCAAAAAAAATATTATATGAAATTCAAAAAAAAAACTATTTATGCAATTAACATGTGGAGAAGGAGATGAATTTGACTTACTATGGACGGCGGATCGGGCACCGTAGGATGGAGGCATGAAGATGGAGGAGGGAGGAAAAGAGAGGTGGAGGCTGGATGGTGGGTTGGCGCAGATCAGCGAGGGTGTTAGAAAAGAGAAGGAAGAGATGGAAATCGTCCCTTCAATCATCATGGATTTCTTGACGGTTAGATTTTGTCAATTGCGAATGAAATTAGACCGTCAGATTGGAGCAAAAATTGGATGGAAGTTTACTCAATTTTGATTCTACTTTTATATCTATAATAGATTGAATATGACTACTAATTGATTAAAGATTTGAAGTGATAAGTATTAATGTGCAATTTATGTCTAATTTGTATAATTAATCTTTATTTTTAACTTATAATTTACAACGCAAAGGTATATAAAAAAGTAACCTAAATTCAAAGAATTGGAGTCGAGTGGAAGGGGTGATAGTGTTGAGAATTATATCATGGATGTTTGCTCTGAAAGTAGATTTGGTGGTTTAAAGAGTATTGTTGAGCTCTCTATAAAAACGGTGTCCACTAAAAAGTCTCTTACGTATAGTTCTGTATGTACTCTCATAAAGGCATTGATACTTCATGTTGCAACAACAAGTGTTGAACATGCTTTTTCCTGAATGAAGTTTGTGAAGAATGAGTTGGGGAATAAAATATATGATCAATGGTCGAATGATTACTTAGTAATATATGGGGAGATGGATCTCTTTTCTACTATTAGTGATGATGTAATTATAGATCATTTTCAAAATAAAAAAATCAAAAGAGTCTAGTTGTAAAGGATATTATTTTCATATGATTTTGTAATTCGTATTAATTCTAGTAGTATTCAAATATTAGTTTTAGTTTATTGTTAAATGGTGTGAATTAGTTCGAGACATGATTCGGATGTAGGGGACGCCATGGTCATGAAATCCTGGATCCGCCTCTGTAGCTCAATACTTAACAATGGTTTTTGGTGCAGTTTGTAGAGTGTGAATCTCACTGGATTAATCAAAATGTATGGAAAGAAAGGGTGCGAGTTAGTGAAAGAACTTGCAGACGGCGAACCTGGGCAGCTTGCAGCGTACAATGCAAGAGCCCTTTCAACCTATATTACAATTTGTTATTCTGTTGCTGCATTTGATTTACTACTTTCATCTGTTATTTTTTTTAACGTTTACTGAATGGAGAGGTGAAATATATACTTTGTGATGTGCATCAAGATTTTGCACAGAGGTGTTCTTAATTTTATGTTTTCACTTCTTGCGTCATACTACCCTTTTGGTAGTTTCTTTTATTCAGATTTAGAAGACAATTTAGAGTCAATGTTCCTTAATTTAGATGTTAAATACCTTCGATGTTTTATGAATTGGGATTTTTCCGTTCTTATGCAGAATGATCTATTTTCTCAAGTAGTTGAAGAATGTAACAGCCATTTCCTTCACCTACGATCCCTGATGAGGTAACACTTGAAGTACCCGTGCTTCTTAGGTTTTTTCATACTGGTCCCCAGCCATGTTGATGTGTATATTTTAATAATATTCTATATTTTGCATGCTGCCCGTGCCTGGTATGACTGTGATAGACTTCATTGCTTGACACATAGATACAAGTGTCCTAGAGTGCATATGATATTGTTGAGGAACTGGAAGGGGGCTGTTGCATTCATAATAGCAAACACGTTTTCGAGCAGCAAGCCTTTTTTTATTTTGTATGGCCTTTCCAATTGTAACTAGATTGGATATTACTGGTCTTAGCTATCCCTCCCTTCGTACGGAAATTTACTTCCTATTTGGGTTCACGAGGTTTGACTGAAGTTATGTTCAATTCAATTTATTTGGTTGTAATTGTAAAATTCAAAAATAAATTTTATATGCTGCGAGTAGTATTTAAAAACTACATAAAAAGTTCTTCAAGACAAGAGGTGGCATGATTGTATTATATTATGAAATTAGTAGTGAAGATAAGCAAACATAGTGAATAGTGAACGGGAAGAACATTTTTTGACTGAGGGAGATCATAATATATATATATATATATATATATATATATATATCTATGGTTTTCCGAACTGCAGTTTTTCTTTGTATTATATTGCTAATGTCTTCTTCATTCTTAGTTTCATGTTCATTTTAAAATATGGTACGACAATTAATCTCTCATGTGTGCTTTTCAAATGAATTTTTGAAGTCTTATCTCAAGGTCAGTTAGCTTAAATATCTCTTGAAAATGGTGAAGCCATTGTGAATTGTGATCATGGTGTTTTAGGAAATAGAGCAATTGAAGCAACCTTGGACATATTCTACACTAATGCTCATGAACGTACTTCCTTGGACAATTTCATTTTTGTTACAATTTATTGCACTTCAGGTGTTGTGTGTATGCTCCATTACTTTGAAATCTTGCTCTCTGCTTCTTATGTTTGCTCTTACTACGGTGCACTAAAACTATTTTACCTCTAGCTCTACTTCATTTGAAAATTCAAGTAGTCAACAACCATCAGATGATGCTGATTACTATGGTTTGCTGGTTCACCACCAGTCTTTGATCCGCAACAAACGATGTCTCATGGCTTATGTGTAAATACACTTTTACACTTATACCCTTTATTTTCTGTTTACTTTTTACTTGAACAGATGACTTCTGCAGTAGTACATTTCCTTTATCAACCAATCTTCTCTGATTTCTTCTGGTGATAGATACAACCGCTCAGAAATTATTCGCAGTTTGAGTTGGACCCTTGAGCCTGTACTCCCTGAACAAATCGAGGAGAAGCTTAGCAATTCTGAAAAGGAATATTTCAAGAATCACTCTGCAACCCTACAATCATACATGGCAGAACTTGATCTGGACTTGGGTGTGGTAAGGAAACTCTTCTATATATATATATATATATATATATATATATATGCATGTATATATGTATGTATATATATATATATGTATAACAGCATCAAAACAACAAAGCTTATGGTTATAATTGTCAAATTTCTGGCACTTATTGTCAATGTGGGCTCTAGTTTGATCAGAGGACACTTGTTTGAATAAATTACTTAGAGGCAATGCCCATTGTGGATTAGGATACTGTAGCTTCTCTCACTTTTTCCCTCCCATGAATTAGCATGAGAAGTTGCCTTAATCAATATTCTCCCAGGATATGGTGCCACCCAAAGACCCCTACATCAAAGTGAGGGTCCTTGATGACATCGGTACTGTCACGCTCAGTGATCAGTTTGCCAATCTGGCTCTCCATGCGATTCTTTTTCTTAGGAGAACTGATGCCGAGAAGTATATTGCACAGGTGATTCTCCACGATTCACATTTGGTTACTCATAAAGCTATATTAAAATGTTATAATGATTTTTTCAGGGTTTAATGGAGGAGCTCACAAGTTGAGTAGAGTTTTTTTATCATTGTTAATGATTGACAGAAAGACATCCGTATTATTTATGTATTCATTGTTGGATGAGCTCATAAGGAGGTGATTACCAACTCTAAATGGGTTCAACACTGTAATGCATTAACTAATACAAGGCAGCATGCCAGCATCCCAATAGATTGTGGAGTAATATGTACCACAGGATGGTTCTTGTGGTTGCCATAAGCCCTGATGATGAACTCTCATTTAAGAAAGACCCCAATATATCATTCGAAAAGTAGATATTTTGTGGGAAAAAAGAAGTAATGAGTTAACCTGATGACAAATTTTGAAGAAAAGACAGACAACCAGCTGACGTTCAAAGTTGCAGAGGGAAAAAATGTGATGTATTTACTAGCTGAAGAAGTTTTGTAAGAGAAAGAAAAGAGAACGTTTTTGTATGTTTATTTTAGTCTCCAGATTATAATATACTAAAAGATATTTTTACTTCAACAATATCACAAATTCCGAATCTAGACTTCTATGTACCATCTTCTCTCTTTTTGTTCTTCCCTATATTATGAATCACTTCTCTTTATTCTACGGTATATCTCTTTTCTTGATAAATCCATTTAATCGTCATAATCAATATTTAATCAGTGGCGTTTCATTATGGTTTATTCATTGTCATAATCATTCAATCAAATTATCCATCAAGGTTTGATCATAATCATTATTCAATAATAGTCATCATAATATCCGTTAACAAATAGCGGCCTAGTGTCGAGTGTTAACATCCTAGCTTACCATCATGCATCACATAAGAGTTTATTCATCAAAAACATCATTTTATTTTGAGAAATCATTCTTATAATGACCATTATTGATTGGTGTGAAAAATATGATTTTAGAGCTCAAAAATAATATTTTCAGAAATATTTTTGGAGCAAACAGTTTGGCGGATCGATCCACAATACCTAGGATTGATCCACCGTAGAAGAAATCTCCCAGGTGATCGATCCAGGAGGGTGGATCCACCCTCCGCTTTTTCGATCACTGTTCATCTTCTTTTTTTTGGGTCCAATTTTGAAAATACCATTTTTAGTTACCAAACTTTAATTAAACTATATAGAAATATTCTCCAAGGTTGTGTTAGAATTTAAGCGTACCTGAGTTTGAAGGTCCAATGGAGAACCTATATGAATATATAATATATTATTTTGATATGACTGCAAGAAAGTCAAAGAACTTTCTTCATTGTGCTTAAAGAACTTTTTAAAGTGCTTTCTCACACTGACTGACTAGCTTGTCTAAAGGAATGCTTGGCTTGATTGGATAGGCCTTCTTAGGCCATAGATCATTTTGACATCATTAATTCATAGTTTTAATAATAATTTCAAGGTTTATGATTCTTAGTTCTTCAACTATGTCAAACACAAAACTCAATCAAACGACCGTTTATGAACGTAGAAATGATCTATACGAATATTCTATACTCACAAACAAACTTTTCTACATCCTATATCCGGACATAGTTCTCCGAGTAACTTAAAAGCCAGTTACTCTCTACACTCACCCACACTCTTAAAGACCTCTTGAATTTTTTCTATGGTAATTTTTTATGGAACCTCTCTCTCTCTCTCTCTCTCCACCTTGGCCAATACTCCAAGATCACCACCCCCTTGATTTTTTTTCGTGACCTTATCTTGCTCAAATTCTGCAAGATCTCCGCCACCCTTTGTCGCCTCCGTGGCTCCACTTTGAAAATTGCTGAATGCCACAAGGTCCCTACCGCTCCCAGTTGCCATTGTACCTGTGACTCCATCTCAACCAACCTCGTCAAGATCCCTTCCACTACCTTAGCTCCCTAGAGTTTTAACCCTCCACCGAGCTAAAAAAATGACAACTCACCTTTTTTCACACACCAGGACCAATAACTCTGAGATCACCCTCTAGTAATTAGCTTGTTCCGATGTGCCCACCTTGCACCGCCGCAACAACACATGCGGGACACGCCGTCCGACCAACTCTTTTGTCAGGAAGACTTTCGACTCAAGGCATAAACCACAGATCTCCACTCTGCTAGACCACACAGGTCTTCTCGGTCTTGATCCTGCATCCTACTTCACAAAGTTAGCACGGCATTGGCTTCACACCTGGTCCCCATGCCATCAACTTTGTTCTTGAAGTCCCATGGTCACCTACTAGCCAAATCAGCCAATCTTTGGGTTCTCAAATTTTCTCCTTTTACCGCTTATAAACCCCTCCAGTCCAGCACAACCAAGCTCTGATACCAACTGTTGGAATTTTAAGCACGTAAGACACCGAAAATGTTGAGAACGCTAGAAAAATGAGGGAACAAACACAAGAAAAATGTACGAGAGAAACAAATTATATTTTCAGTATTTCATGACAATATAAAAAAAACTCTCCTTTTATTTACAAGGCTAAATTGCAGACACTTATAAATAGACTTTTCTAATCCTATACTGGGATATATTTTTACAAGTAAGTAAAAAGCTAGTTATTACCTACACTCACCTACACTCACCAACACTAGTACAAAATATGGCAAATGCATTACCATATTTGAATCGCTACATAAAAAATCAATTCAAAAGGGAATTAATTTTCGCCATTAATATTTGAATGAGTTATTTCTAATAACCAATTCAAATACCTTTTGAATTGGCTATTAGTAATAACCGATCCAAATACTAACCCTCTTTTGAATCAGTTATAACTAATAACAGATTCAAAAGGTATAGGTATTTGAATCAATCGTCCTCCCCTCCTTTCGTCGCCGACGAGTTCCCTCACCCTCGCCACGGTTTTACCATCACCGTTCTCAATTCCACTATCGTTGCGCTGTCTACAGTCGCCGCCTACATCCTCCTCTCCTCTTTTTCCATCCTTCGGGCCTAGCAACCGTCCCATTAGAACACTGCCGCTAGCTACAAGTCGCCCTCCACATTATTGCCGTCTCATTGTGTTTAATTTGTTCATTACTATAAAATGTAATATTGAAATTTTATTTCAATGTATTTACTTGAATTACTTTTGTGTGTATGTCTTAGTTGAAATGTGACATTGTGATATTAATGTCAAATCATAATTTTTTTTGTGTTTGTGTTATTTTTTTGACGTAAAATTATTTTAAAGTACATTGGAATATATATTGTTTAATTATTGTTTGTTTTATGCTACATGATCTAAGATGTTATAATATATATGGAAAAAATATTATATTTAAACCGACCTATATACTCGTTTAAAATTTACTCAATATGAGTAATTTTTAAATGAGGAATTTACTTAAATAGCACTAAAACATAATGACTTTCCCTAAATAGCACAACATGTGTTTTTTCCCCAATGTAGCACTTTTAGTCATTATGCATTAGTCATTATTCAAGTAAATATTCGCCATCACTGGACATTATTAAGTGCTATTTAAGGAACAAAACAATTTAACTACAGTTTTAGTGCTATTTAGTGCAAATATGTCTTTTTAAATAGCTCCCACTTTGGAGTTGTACTGAACTGCTTCCCTCACTTAGGTGGTGAATGTATTTCTTTTTCTTAGTTCCATCATTTTTGGCATGGCTTTTTCCAGATGCATTCTTCGAGTGCATATGTAACTACATTACATCGTCCACTTGAGTAACCACTGGAAAATGCTACCAAAACTTTGATGGATCAAAGAAAATGGAATGTATTCACTAGTGAGGGTGACATTTCAAGAATGTGTTAGGATGAAATAAAGAAAGACCATTTATATAATGAAGAAATGCTGCTAGATTTTTGTTACATCATAAGAAATGAAGAATAGTGTTGCATGTATTTGTTGTATGTATGTATGTATGTATGTATGTATGTATGTATGTGAAATGAGTGTTAATTATTTTTTTGCATTGTTTTGTATCCAACCATTTGATTTGTTCATCTGTTTCTTAGTAATATATATGATGGATCGAAAATGGATTGTTATGCCGCAGACATTACCTGAATCTTGTTCTGGTATGAGAGAGTCTATTCGTTTTGTAGGAAAATATTCAAAAGAGGTAGAAGATATATTGCTCTTGTAATTTATGTCATAACCATTTTATGGCTGATAGCGTTAAGGATATAAGATTCTATGTGTATCGCAAGAGTTATAACGAATAAATAGAAGTTGATATTGGTGATATCTAGAGTTTTGAGGCTGAAATGGAAGATGAGTTAAGGTGTACTCAAAGTGTTCGCCGTGATCAAGATGCCATCGCTGAAGAGCGTAATATGTATGAGGGGTTAGTAGGAAACTCAAAACGGCCATTGTATCCTGGTTGTACACAATTTACACGTTTGAAACAGGTGTTGGCATTGTTTAAAAGGTGCTTCCCAGAAGTGGCGCCAATTCTGGGAACCACCTTTTGAACCGATTGTTTAATTATAACTGATTCAAAAAGAAGTTTCTAGAATTGTCGCCACTTATAAGAAGCACCTTTTGAATCGATTATTAGTAAAAAAAACTTGATTCAAAAGCCTCTAGCACAATGTGAATTATGTACTCATGTAGGACTTTTTGCATTGGTTCAAAAACCGGTGCAAATTTTTTTTGCACCAATTGCATTGCAACCTTTTGCATCGGTTAGGAACCTATTCAAAAAGTCAAAAATAACCGATTCAAAAGGTAATTTATGTAGGAGTGAAAGACCCCTTAGGTTTTGCTGGTGGTATTCTTATGCCCCTCATTGTTTCTCTCTCTCTCACCCTCTACCTTAGTAGTGTGTAAAACTCACACACACAAAGATCGTTACTCTATGGTTATTAAATAGTCAATGAATAAACAATTCATGTGAGAACCAAGCTAAGAAGCTGCAATACAATACCACATAGCTCTCCATACCATGCATGTGAGTTGTAACACTCACTATCACGTACATGTTGGTGATTTTAGTGTCATCGGCTATTTTGTGTAATTGGATTTACTTAGATCAGCTGAGAATTGTAATAGACGTTGTCTAACAAGTTAGGAGGCGCGGAGTACGCAGTCGTTCAACGATATTACAAATTCATAGCAGGAGTCCGGGGGCGGTACCCCTCGGGTAGCGGGTCCAAGGGGTAGAGCCTGTGGCTGGGGTCGAGCTAAAAATCCTTTTTTATTTTGGACGTTATTTCTTTATGAAAATCTTTCAGTTTTTCGTTAACGGAGTCCAAAACGTTAAAAGATTTGGATGTGTGGATTAATACCAAAATAACCCTAAAACCGCAAGTATCCTTTCACGCGAACATTTGTCTCCTTAAGCAAACTTTCGTGTTTTTTCAAGCTTTATCTCCTCGCGCGAACGTTCACGTATTACACGAACGTTCATTGTGATCATCAATTTTCGAATCGATAAATAGAGTCTCGTAGGTATGGTTGAGGAATCCAGTTTTCAATGCTTGTTCTTGATTAACCTATCATCTAATTAAAGTATTTTGTATACCACACAATAACTTTGATCAGAAAGACTTCTATGCGATTCGTTATACTCTATCAAGTTATTCTTCTCTTTCTTTGTAAACGCTGCACCACAGCATTCTTCCTCCATATTACATTCCAACAGTACAACTCAGCTTCCACTCTCTTTCTTTTGGTTTTTTTCTTTTCTTGATTAATTTAGATCAATTCTCTGTTGGCGATTTTAGTGTCATCAGCTATTTTGTGTGATTGGGGTTTACTTAGATCAGACAAGAATTATTTGAATAGACGTTGTTAAAGAGTTAGGAGGTGCGAAGTGTGCACTTGTTCAATGAATATTACAAATTCATAGATAGGGGTCTGGGTGCGAAGTGCGCACTTGTCATCTCTATAAATAGAGACGCTCGGGTATGGTTGAAGATACGATTTGAAAGACTTGTTCTTGATTAATGTCTTATCCGATTAAAGTATTTCTTATACTCCAAAATAACTTTGATCTGAAAACGTTTTACGCGATTCATTATACTCAATTAGATCAACTTATTCTTCTCATTCTTCGTTAACGTTCCTCTGCATTGTTCTTCATCCATACCATTTTCTCCTACATTCTCAACATCTAGTGCCCACTAGGCATGGTCTTATCACTTATGAAGTGCCGAGAAGTATGGTAAGTAATAATTAATCATTTAGCACACTTAATTAGCTCAGCCCGCGCAAAATAAGTGTGACATAAGTACTTTTTTTTGTTGTAGTGTATATTGTTTTATCCAATGTGCATGCATTGAAAACCTTAACAACACCGATCAATAAACTCAAATGGGAATAAAATTGAGGAAGTACGATTATTTGGCAATTGGCTGTAAATAATTTAAATCAAACTACACTTTCTCTATCTGGGCACAAAGTTTTCTCAATTCCAGTGCAGCATTGTCCATCTCCTCCCTCTGTTTCATCTTTAACCTAATGCTCATGTCCTTAACCCTCATCTTCAATGCCTCACTTCTCTTCCCACTAAAAGCCTCCTCCACCGCCCTAGCTATCGCCGTCCTTGAAAACTTTCCTCCTCCGTCCCTCGTGACCTCGATTGCCAGGCCCTTCTCCACTAGAAACCTGGCATTCACGGGTTGATCGACGTGGATGGGCATGGCGATGATCGGGACGGAGAAATTGAGACTCTCCATTATCGAGTTCCACCCACAGTGTGTCAGAAACCCACCCACGCTCCGGTGGCTGAGAATCTTCACCTGTGGGGCCCACCCTTTCACTATCTTTCCTCTCTCCCCCATCTTTTCTACAAATCCATTGGGGAGTGATTCTTCAACAACATCCATGTTTCTCCCATTTGGGGACCTTAGCACCCAAATGAAGTTCACCTTGCTGGTGGCGGCCCTCGCCACCAGCTCTAGCCCGCGGGCCATCTCCTCGATTTCTTGTTTGGACAAGAAGCACTCGCTCCCAAATGAGATGTACACGACCGAGCCTTCCTCTTTCGTATCGAGCCAATCCAAGATCTCCCCTATATTTTGCGGGGATTCCTCGGTTTGGTCTTGGGCTAACAACCCGATCGGAACGACTCTGCATCCGATAATCTTGGAGTAGTATTGTATGTACTCGGGCTCCATTTCCGTTGAGCTACTGATCAAAACCATTTGTGGCTTCGAGAGGCTCTCTTCCGGGTCCCTCTCGCTCATCATGATGTGCCTCACGGAAGCTCGGAAGACGGTTTCCCAGTGCCCATCCAGGCGAATGGCCGGGAACGGGAAGACGTCTTCCGAGCCACCACTTATTGTGGTGAAGTTAATGTAAGAGGATGTGGCGGCGCAAACGTTGTAGAACCGAATGGCGGGGATGCGGAGATCATGCGCGACCTCTTCAGCCCAGACCTGGAGGAAGTCGAGGACGAGGAGGTCGGGCTTGAGGGCGCGCATGATCTCGGAGAAATTCGGCTTCGACATCCGCAATGCCCTCCGGAGGGTGGGCTGGAGGTGGGGCGGGAGGCCGTTGGTGGTGTGGCAATGGGGAGGGAGTTCCGGGAGGTGCGGCAGGTGGAGCTCCACCGGCCGGATCGAGGCGGAATACTTCTCCGGGATCATGTTCTTGACGGAGGCGAGGATGACGGGGGTGGAACATAGGTGGATGAGGAAACCCCGGTGGGAGAGATTCTTGGCCAGTCCCAGGTAAGGAGTGATGTGGCCGTGAGCCAAGAATGGGAACATTAAAACGCTAGGGCTTCTACCTTCCTCACTCATGACTGCACGTACGTACACTTTCTGGTGGTAGGGGGGTTTATCAACTTGGTTCTTTTGTTTAAAGAAGTGATGGGTGTCTCCAAGAGGGGGTTCATTATATGGGAACCGCTGTTTGTTTTGTAGCTTGTGGGAGATGTTTCCTTTTTTTAATGCTTAGGCAACTTTACTTGTCCTTCCATCTTACTCCCTCCCCCCTAACATGTTTCTTGAACTTTTGTGTTTTCTTTTGTGTTTTTTGAAGAGTTGAAAAAAAGTAAAAATTTATTAAAATATCCTCAATAAAAAGGTTAAATATATTATATGAGGTGAGTGTGCTCTAATAAATAAACAAAAGATAGTTGTGATATTTTAAATGATAAAAAATAATTAGATCTATGAAGAATGAGAAGAAAAACGTTAATGAGAAGAAGTATGGGGAACGAAAAAAGTATTAATACAAAAGTTCTCCTTCGGTAAAATATCATTCATACCTTTCTTACTATGCCATCTTTCTTTATCCACATCAGTTTGCTATATCAAATTTTACAAATTTCATTCCGTCTCACTTGAATCTTTACGTATACTATTCAGAGGGTCAAATTACCTATAAAGTTATCAAACTAGAGTTGACAAATACTCAGGGACGAAGGTAGTATAACTACTTTTAAATAATTACCTTAATTAATAATTTAATTAGTACTAAGATAAAAAAATTAGTTTTAAATTCTAAAAATCAATGCAAAAATTATTTTAAAAATATAGACAAAACATTTATTAAAAATTAGATGACCCTCATTAAATTAAATTTATATTACAATACAAATAAGAAATAGCATAATCTTTGGAAAAACGCCATTACAATACTAAATACAGAGTAAAATATACTCCCTCCGTTCTCAAAAATATTTCCTCTTTCATTTTTTCACTTCCAACAAAACACTTCCACTTTCTATTAAAAAACAACTTTTACCCTTACTTTTTCATACCCTACATATCACATCATACTTTTTTTCTAATAATCTATCCATCACATCTTACTTTTACCCATCACATCAGAGACAAAATTGGAAGTCAACTATAATTTAACACTTCCTTATTTTGGCTCCAAGTCAACTACTCCCTCCGTCCCAAAAAGATTTACACGTTTCAAAAAAATCGTGTCCCACAATTTCTCACCCATTTCTATTAAAAAACCACTTTTACCCCTTACTTTTTCAAACCCTAACTATCACATCATACCTTTTTCCTAATAATCTACACATCACATCCTACTTTTACCCATCACATCAAGGGTATTTTTGGAAAGTCAACACAAAATTATCCCTCCCTTAATTTCAACTTTAGTCAAAATGGGTAACACTTTATGGGACGGAGGGAGTATAATTTAACACTTTCTTATTTTGGCTCCAAGTTAAAGTAGGAACCTTTTTTGCAAACAGAGGGAGTAGCATACTCTGTACAAAAAAACAAAACAAGTCATAGATTAAAAATTAGATTTTTGAAATAATGTTCTTATTTGACTATTCTCAAACATTTTTGTTGTTGATGAATACATTAATGTTCTTAATAAAAATGTGATATTTCATAATGTCATTTCAAGACAAATCAAATGATATTTAGTTTATGAATTTATTCATTACATTTTTTTTAAATTTTATGGTCAAATTTTTTAAATTTTGACCTTAAAGAGTTAAATGAGAACGTTATTTTAGGATGGAGTGTGTGTATTGTAGTTAATTAATTTAAAATATGTTATTGCTATATCCCCTCCATAATGGCCAATTACACGCCATTTATGTTAAATGAATAAATTTGCCCTAAAAGTTAGCTAAGATCTAGTACCTCTTCTTTGTGTTTTAAAGACAAAGTTGTTCATTTTACTATAGATGAATTTAGCCATAATAGGGACGGATATAACAATCCTCTTTAAAATAATATGTTCAATATCAATTACTCCCTCCGTCCCCCTAAGATGTTCTCATTTTGACTTTTGGTGGTTTTTAAGGAGAATTGAAAAAAGGTGAAAGTTTACCATAATACCCTTAATGAAAATTGGTGGAGTGTATTAAATGAGGTGGGTGAGGTGTAATAAATAAAGTAAGTGGGGGTAGTTATGATATTTTAATTGTTAAAAAATGAAATAAGAAGATCTATTGTGGACAAAGAAAAAGGGCTATTAGGAATATCTATGAGGGACGGAGGGAGTATAGTATAATAATACTGCTATAAGTGTAAATAAAAAGTAGAGCGACATGCCGTATGTCCGACAAATGCTTAGACTTTCTTAACGATTTGATTTGATACCAAAAAGATGGGAGTGGTGTTGTGCCCTCTTGGCCAAGATGCAACCTAGGCAAATTTTGGTACCAAAATCCTTATACTTTGTGCAAACCGTACACCCTTAGAGTGTTAAAAGATATTTTAGTGTGCACGGAAATATGTCTTAGACGGTTTGGCCGCAGGGTGACACTTAATCGGATAAGGCTTTATTGTTGTGGATTTTCTAAAAATCTTTCTACTCAAATACAGAGTAATTTTTTTAAAATAAATACGAGTACATGATTGTTAAAACTTTGTTTCACCATATACGGAGTAGATTTTATACGGAGTATTTGGTATATTTGGCTGGAACGCTTAATGTTGTCTATGGGGCAGAAATGGGTTGGTACTTTGTAGCGGGTAGGCACTTCGTGCAAATAAACGTGTGGTAGTGGTTCACCTGATCACCTCACAATTATTTCATGTACTTCTCTCGTTCTCTTTTCGAGAAAAGCTCCACAATTATCAAAAAATGAGGCAAGGAACTTGTGGTTTATCGTCAAATCGTATAACTGTGATTCTCTTAAAGAGCATGCTATATGTATCCCAAAATTTGTATCTCATTTGTACACCAAAAGTATGCATTAACATTTTGATGGTTCACACTGACACAAAATGTTGGTGCGTTAACAAAAATTTACACTGACACAAAGTGTTGGTGCGTTAACAAAAATTTACACTGACACAAAGTGTTGGTGCGTTAACAAAAATTTACACTGACACAAAGTTTTGATGCGTTAACAAAAATTAACATTACACCAACACAAAATATTAGTGTATCCATGTAGTGTACAAAATGGGGTACAAATCCTTGGGGTACAAATAGTTTTACCCTTCTCTTAAATACTCTGTAAGCCCGAATGAGTACTTCAACTGATGTCAAAGAACCTACTCAACCAAAAGCTTAAACTTGGTGTTGTAGTCCAAGAAAAGTTTTTTATATTCTAACACGCCCCTCGCGTGCATGCGAAGCCTTTTTTAAACCTTGCACGTGAAATATTAAAAATTTTTATAACTGTGTGACGCTAAATTTCGAACCCGTGACCTCTTAGTAAGCAAGGCTCCGATACCATAATAGGATTTAGGATGGGGTAAAGGCAAATAATTTGTATATAAGCTCTTGAGTTAAACTAACTAATACATTGGATTCAATCTTTTAATATGGTTCAACTCAAGTGTCTTATGACTCAGTCTAGTGATCCTTACATCATCATAAATTCTATCATGGTATCAGAGCGAGTTTTAGCCCACCTCGTTTGTCAAGGTGTTTGTCTAGACGTTCATTCCTAGCGGCCTGTTTGTCTTTAGCCCATTTAACCCGATTGTCTGTCTGGAAGTCTATACCCAGCGGCTCGTGGTCCTTTAGGTGTTGTCGCTAAAAAAAAGCAAGGAGCTGATGAGAATACATCTACAAGTGGTCAAAAGGTTAGATTCAAGATTGACCGATTGTCGACTTGAGGGGAGTGTTAGAGTCTATCACACATAGGAAGCTATATAAGCTCTTGAGTTAAACTACTAATAGATCGGATTCAATCTTTTAAAGTGTTTCAACTCAAGTGTTTTATGGCTCAGTCCAATGATCCTTACCACATCCTAAATTCTATCAACTGGTCATCGTCTAAGGAGAGGATGCCAAGCACATACATCCTAGTGTCGAATTCCGCTAGTAATTAATAGTGTGAGTGGTGTATTCTTTGTAATACTCCCTCCGTCCCAAAAAGATTTACACGTTTCAAAAAAATTGTGTCCCACAATTTCTTACCCATTTCTATTAAAAAACCACTTTTACCCCTTACTTTTTCAAACCCTACCTATCACATCATACCTTTTTCCTAATAATCTACACATCACATGCTACTTTTACCCATCACATCAAGGGTATTTTTGGAAAGTCAACACAAAATTATCCCTCCCTTAATTTCAACTTTAGTCAAAATGGGTAACACTTTATGGGACGGAGGGAGTAATTCTTTGTGCACACCGGGTACGGACGGTCTCTCTAAGGACCAGATTAAAATTATATCATGATTTACCCCTTCCACGTCTTGTTGGGTGGGGGTGTAGGGGTGTCCGGGGTGGGCGTTCCACCTTAAATACTCTATAAGACGTTATAGCTAGGTTCGAATTCTAATGAAGGTGTTGAATCTTTATATTTTAGGTTGTTTAATAGGACGAGTATATTTGAATAGATGAGTACATTGTAATAGTTAATAATAGTATTAAAATAAAACAAAAATGAAAAATATGAAATATCATTGTGTAATTGATATTAATGTTAAAAAATTAGATAAAATGATAAGGATGGTTAATTACACAAATATGATCAAATACGATACAAGACTACAAGATAAAAATATAGTGGATAGAGATGAAAACCATAAAAATAATGAACTAAGGGAGTATAATAATTCATTGCGAGTTTTTTTTCATTTAGAGCATACTCCATATTAATATATACTCCGTATAAAATATGGAACTTTTTTTTGGCAGAGTGGATATGAACATTGAGGAATGTTAATCATAGTCCCTCTGTCTAAAAAACTCTCATTTTTCTTGTTTTCAATTCTCCCACAAAATTGTAGGTATGAACATGATGAAGAGAATGACACCCATATATAAAGAATATGAATGGTTAATGGGTCCTTTTTACTGATTTTCAAGCTTATCAAATTGTGTGGAATAAACTAACTATTCCTAAATACCAATTCTTCAAATGGCTTGGTTGGATAAATAGAATCCTCGCTAAAGTTGGACTGAACAGGTTTATGAAGATTGATACCAAATGTGTGTGGTGATCTACTGATGATGAACACAAAGAGCATTTATTTTATACTTGTTCTTACATGAGGGACATTAAGGATTAACATTGGTCAGTGGATTCAACACAATTGGAGGGCTATCAATGATGATAATTTGTTAGATGAATTCAAACAGATCAATGACATGAAGAGGAGACATATTCCAATAGCTGAATTTGCTCAACTTTTCTGCGACGGAAATATTTCGTTGCAGATCCGTTGCAGAATGGAAATCTGCCACGGAATTTCAAATTCTGCCACGGAATTTGTCCGTTGCAAATCGGCAGTTTTCTTGTAGTGACATTTTAACTGCTAAAGGCATCCATGAAGCTCTTAAGCTCACACCTTGTAGTTTTGTCGGCCACCATTTGATGAATATTTTATAATGAGTTTGAAAAATTATTCACTACAAAAAAAGAGGGCAGTACCGACAGATCCTTAGAGACAGAAACCTTATTTGTCGCTAAAAAGAGAATATTACCGATGGATAAAATTATTTGAAGGCAAAAACTAACTGACCCACAAAAAGAGTGATATCTGTCGCTATTGGTTATAGTTTTAGCAACAAACTTTTATCTGTCGGTATTGCTTATAGTTTCAGCGACAAAACTTCATCTGTCAGTATTGTTTATAGTATTAGCATCAAAAAATTTATCTGTCGGTATTGTTTATAGTATTAGCAACAAAAATTTATTTGTAGGTATTGTTTAGAGAAATTTACCTAAATAGGACTAAAACATAATGAGATTCCCAATATAGGACCATATGTTTTTATTTCCCAATGTAGGACCTTTGGTCATTATCACGAAGTCATTATTCAACTAAATGTGCATCATTGTTGGACATTATTTCTTCTACTAGGTCATTATTAAGTCCTATTTATGGAATAAAAAAGTTTAAGTCCTACATTAGGAAAGTCATTATGTTTTAGTTCTATTTAGTGCAAATTTCACTATTGTTTATAGTTTTAGAAACATTATTTTATCTGTCGGTATTGATTTTATTGACATTTAATTTAAATATCTTAATTATAAAAAACCATAAAATTAGGCATAATTTAGTACATGAAATTGAGGTCATGAAATTGGAAATGAAAAACCTCAATTTGAATTTTGTTGTTTGGTAGCACAAAAATATATGATATTAAAAATGAATTATAAATTTAAAAGATTAAAAACTAAAAATTAAAGATTAAAAATAATTTTTTTACATTGAATATTTACAAATTAAAAATTATAATTTTTAATTTCAGATTTTTAAGTTATAAGTTAAAACTAAAGGACTAAAGTGACCGAATAGAATCAAGACATATGATAAAATCTGTCAAATCTGTCAACAATTTAATGCACTTGGAGCTGGAATTGGTGTCAAGTGTGTAGCGGTGAGCTCTCGGTTGAACCAAATGATCTCATCATAACGAATTCATCGTTAAGTAGACACATTGTTAAGTATTCCATAGTCACATATGTCACTAATTGTGTACTTAGCCAGATACTGCTACTCAATCAATTGAGTCAATATTTTGGATTGACGCTTGAAAATCGAACAAGAGCATGAAGAAACAAAAGAAAGACTCCAAAATTTAGAAGATGTAGTATCATTGGTTTTAAATACCGTGGTTAGTCTCTATCTATCATTGTTAACTACCCATATTTCATTTGATTTTTTCTTAGTTCATTATATAGTTTAAGGTTATGACACCTAGCATGCATGTAAGGTAAATTTAGTGCAAAATTTGTAATTATGTTATCACGTGCTTATAATTTTTTTTGCATAGGGTTCAACGGCTAATCAATCTGAAATTGATGACCTTACAATTGATGGTAATACAACCCCTGAGAAAAGTCATGATGATCGATGGAACAAAGATGATGAAGTTGAGAGCATTGAACTTGAAGATGTATACAGTGACGAGTAGTAAAGCTTTGGACTATATCTTCCATATCAACGCATATTTTAATTTAGTTCATTTTGACTGTTTATACTTTAGCTTGAAACGTATTCAAATGATAAACTAATTTTGAGATTTTGGTTTACTTTCTAGTAAATGGGTTAGTTGTAACCATGGTATTAATAACAATTATAATAAATGTTAATGTTGGTCAAAATAAACTATTACCGACAGAAAAAAAATATTTTACTCACAATTTTTTGTGGGTAATCTAACTTTTAGCGACAGTTATAATAAATATAAATGTTGGTAAAAACAAGGTATTACCGACAGAAAAGAAGGATTTACCCACACTATTTTTTGTCGGTAATCCATGTTTTAGCGACATATATGTTTTGTCGGTACTCCTCTCTTTTTTAGCGACATCTTTGGTCTGTCGCTATTACATTATTTTAGAGACATTATATTTTATCTGTCGGTAATACTTTTACTGACGGAGTTTTTAGCGATAGCGTAGCGACAGACATTTATCTGTCGGTAAAAGCGATTAGCGACAGATATTCAACCTTTAGCGACAGATTGACCGCTGTCAGTATTTCCTCCTGTTTTTGTAGTGATTGTAGTTGACACACCACCTCTTTCTTTATAAATTCCCTCCTCGCTGCAAAAAAAAGTCTTCTCTTCAGCTTCACCGCCTTAGTTAAATGCAAAACATCCGGTTGGTGCGTACGTAATAACCTTATGATACCAGACATATCTTTGAGTCCCCATTCAAAATGAATTTGCATTTATTGACCTGGATGAAGTATCACATAGCTCTATGGTTGTGCCTAGGGCGCACTTGATCCACCCAGATTTCCTCAACTTTTATGGTCGCGTACCTTGGCACACAATATCTCTTTTTATCTACCTACAAGTTCTAGCTGGTGACCTCAGCTCATTGACCACGTGATGTACTTGGCCGCCTCCTTATCTTGGTCATTTTCACGTATCGACAACTTCTAGATCCCCTAAGCTACATTTCCCATCTCTGTTGTGACTTGAGAACTTGGTGTAGAGGTGCATCACAGGGAACTAAAATAGTGTAGATCCTCTAACTCGTCCAATTGCAATTGCACCAACTACAACTTGATTCATCAAAAAATTATTGATGTCCGTCTTAGTCGCGATCACATCCCAATGGGGACACTTGTGCATCTTATCTAGTTTGTTCACCTGTACAAGCAGCTGATATAGTTTTGCTACCAACAACTATATTGGAGGATTGGTGGTATATGTTTATGCAACAAAAAAGGTACTTGATAGGCTTACAAAATTTTAAAAGAATCACTTTTAGACAAGTTATTTCGGGCAAACCAAAATACTTTAATCGTATAAGACGTTAATGTTAAAAAAAAACAAGTAAGGCTTCTAGAAGAAGAGTATAGTCACTTTGACTTGTTCTTGGTTGTTCTATCGAAATAGGCCATAAGCATAGCAACTTATAGGCAAAGCACTGATTGGACATGCATGTTTTTTAACTTAAACTAACATTGGGTTTGTTTAGTACCTATTCGAATAGCATACTTCCTATTTGATTAGGAGGTCGTTTTTGAAGGATCAAACGCATCTCTTACGTGATCTATTCAAATAGGTTAGCACCTATTTGAATAGGTCAACATATTAAGTCTTGAGCTATTGCAATAGGTCAAACACATTTCCAATATGCTAGCATATAAGCTTCTGACCTATTCCAATATGTAAAGACGTATTCGAATAGGTCCTCACAGTTCACACTAACCTATTTGAATAGGCAATTGCCTATTTGAATAGGACAACCATTTTATTCCAAATAATAATAAATTTAAATGAGTGTGTACTCCACACCTCCTAACTCATTTTAATAGTTATAATTATTTAATGTGCATTCACTAAGTAAATCCAATCACCCAAAATAACCCGATGACACTAAAATCACAAACAATCCTCCTGTATTTTAGTGTCATCCTTGATTTACTTAGATAGTCTCAAAATAGAATAACACTCATGCATAAACAAAATATCGCATCGATTGAATTTCATCTTAGTATATTACACATTTCAAATACTCGAATGTCGGGGTGTCGCTAAGGATTGAACCCTTTATGTTCGCTTCAATACATGGGGATAATATACACATGAGTTCAGCATACTCCTTGTTTTTTATTGACACTTTTTTTATCTGCCTTGTGTCCCTATCATTCAACGAGCATAAATTATAAAAGAAAAGTCTAATGCTTCTTGAAGCGACTAAACTTCATGCTACGTATATGGGGTTCTTTTTGGTTTTGTACGTGCATATACAATTCTTCAAAAGAACCATTAAGAAGATATACTTCAACCTACACAACTTACAAGTCTGAACACGAACCTTTGGGATGAATGAAAATAATGTGCTCCATTCTCTAGATGTTAAGCTTTCCACATTGAATTTAGCACCTAACGTCATATTAGGTGGGAATTGGGTATCTTAACATGTGAGACACCATAGATACTTTAATCCCATCGCTTTAGCCATATTTTGCATGAGATCCCTTTTTAACCCTTTAGTTAAATGGTCGGCTAAATTGTGTTGAGTTCTTACGAACTCTGCCGATATTACAACATGCTTGATCAAATTGCGTACCATGATATCTGTAACACCTAAGTGTCTAGACTTACCATTATACACTTGACTATATGCCTTAGCAAGTGTAGAAACGCTATCACACTGGATAAAAATTGGAGAAATTTGTTTAGGCCATAATGAAATGTCAACACTAAGTTTCTTAGTTACTCGACCTCTTTACCATTTGAAGCTAAAGCAACAAGTTCAGATTCCATTGTCAAGGTAGTGATGCAAGTTTGCTTCTTTGAACCCCAAGGAATTGCTCCTCCACCAAGTAGGAAAAACATCCACTAGTTGAAGAGAAATTTTCTATATTAGTAATCCATTAAATAAAAGTTGCTCATATTGGTGACATTTATAATGTTTCAAGTACCTCTTATTTAGTTCGAATACGGGCATGACTTCTTGTCCCAAAATAATGAGCAACTTGATGCTTACTAAGATTCTTAGCCTTTATTTCACCTCTCTTGTGCATGAAATAATAGTCGACATTCTTAGACTTATACGCCTCAAAATAAATTAGCATATACAATGGAAAAGTGTTTTAAAATACTACCTTTGCTTTATCTGAACTCTAAAACTCTGCCAAGTTCATCCACATAGTTAGAGGTACATGTTGGGCCTTTTCTCTAATGCTCTTGCAAGAGTTTTCCCTTAAAACATGTCCCTTTCAGCTCAGATTTTGTAATCTCTCCAAGAAGCATGTGCTTTCATTATCACCTATTCACGTGGCTCCTTTCCTTTCGGAAAGTTGTAGGACCGCTAAAGCATTTTATAAATCATGAAGAGGTAAGTAGTGAATAAGATTTAAGAGTCACTTTAATTTTTAATTTATTAGAAATACACATTTATATATAAGAGTTATGTGTACCTTGACTTCTATCCATTTTAGATCCTTCTTTGCCTCTTTCATTTCTCTCCAATCAAAACAATATAATCAAATGGTAGTTTTCTAGGATCTATTGCAAGGCTACCAATCAAAGAAGACATTTGTCTCTGTGAATCACTTAATGGCACAAGATCTTCATTCACATCAACAAAGACAGACTTATCCAATACCTTTTTATTTACACTACATCCTTTCACTTTCTTTTACACATTACTTTCAACTTTTCCTCTATGACATCCAGCCATCATCACCAATTTGAGTAATATGAATGTTAAAGCTTTTGCCATATTTTCCCATGGTGGGAAGAGTTTCAAGAGTTACTTCCTTGTCACCTTCAACAATATGCCTGGTGGGATTCAAGATTATCACAAAATCAATCTGTATATTATCCATTTAGATTTAAATTATATTTAACATGGTCATGATGTATGTCTTGATGACTTATGAAACCTTTATAACTAGGGATGGGCGCGGTACCGTGACGGTCTGTGATACTACCGCAACCTATCACGGACCAGTCTTATTTAAATGATTCGGTATTGGTACGGGCTGAACCCCAAAATTATTCGGTACCATTCTGTTTGAAACAGAGCAGTACAATATCATATCCATGCTCAAACCGTGTCAAAAAATGTACATGCATTACTCCACGGATATTAAAAAAAAGTATAGTTTTGTATAAAAAAAAGTACAACTTTGTTAAATAGAAGTATTGAATTTGAATTTAAAAATATTCATAAGCATAAAGAATAAAAGATAACGAGTCCCAATTTAATAAATAGTTTTTTTAAATTACTATAATATCAAACTATTAACTCTAAACATATAATGCTAATAGTAGTAATTAATATAATAACAGCAATAATAAAGAAAGAATTTAAAAAATGAATAATAAAATACGAAAAATTCTAAATACGGTTAGATGAAGTAGATAAGTACTGCATAATTATTTGAGATACTCTCTATATAGATTTGAATGGTTCGGCCTGTGATAATCTGTTTTAAATATTTGTATCACAGTCAAGTCCCGTTTGATATCGGTTTGGTTTCGATACGTGATGAAAAAAATCAATCCCGTTTAAAAAATTCTATAAACGGTTCGGTAGCATTACAGTCCGGTATGAGACTATGCTAATCGGTTTTTTGCCCACCCCTATTTATAAGTATTTTATAAAACCTTTCAATTTCTAGCAGTAAACAATCATAATCTTTATTAAATTTTTATAAACTTTTCACTTTCTAACATTAAATAACTATTATTTTAATTAAATTTTATATAAATATTTCACTATATTACTGTTTTAAAAATATCTATTTCATTATTGATACATATTTTTTAAATACACACACTTAATTATGTTATTATTCTTATTTAAAGTAATGTTTAACCTTTATAAATTAAAAAACAACATTGTATATAGTTTTTCAAACCATCAATTTATTTTATTTTTAAAATTCCTTAAAAAACTAGTACATAGTAAATTTTATCACATATGTGTCTTTAAAAAAGAATTATATAAATTATGTATTATTTGTTAATTTGTCCATTATATATTTAATATATGTTGTTTTAATTTATTATAAATAAAAACAATTTTCCTTATTATAATATTATTTCATTTACTGACCATTTATTTTGTATAAAATTTTCTTCGTGTCATTCGTGCACTCTATGTCACGAGTAATATCATGCTTACATATGGAATTTTATACCAAACGTACAAATCCCACGTTCTAGACGAAGTGGTAACAAACATCTCCCTTGTACTCCCTTTGTTCCCTAAGAAGGTTCATGTTTTGACTTTTAGCCAAATTAAGGAAAGTGTAATTTTGGTTGAGTTCTAATTTTGCCCCTGATGTGATAGGTAAAAGTAAGATACGATAGTTTGGTTATTAGTGAAAAAGTATGATGTGATAGGTAGGGTATGAAAAAGTATGGGTAAAATTGGTTTTTTAATAGAAAAATGAAGTGCTTTTAGGAATTGAAAAAAAATGAAAGAAGAAGGATTTTAAGAAAGGGAGGGAGTATTATACATTGCATTTGATAATAAGGTGTCATGTAGAATTAGGAAGATTGGTAGGGAACGTCAAATGAAGGCTATAAATAGGGAGTATTTCATTATTCAATCAAATACGGAGTACAAATATACAACACACTTGCTTTCAATTCAAGATGTCCGACAACAACAATTCAAACAAGAGGGTGAGGAGGGGCCGACAAAGGATCCCTCTCACAAAGATTGAGAACGATGTTCACCGACAAGTCACATTCTCGAAGCGCCGGTCTGGCGTGTTCAAGAAAGCCAGTGAACTGTCCACTCTGTGCGGCGTCGACATCGCCATGGTCATATTCTCGCCCACGAACAAAGCTTACACTTTCGGCAACCCCAGTTTGAACGCCGTTCTCAACCGGTACTTTGGGGAAAACCCAAATGCCAGAGCCAACGTCACGGGCGACATTATCCGTGCTCGCCACGAGGCCATCGTGGGCTCCATGACACCCCAGATCAGCGAAATGGAGTCAATGATTCGCGATCTGACGAACGAAAACCACGCGTTGTGCGAGGCCGAGAAAAACCGGCCTTCTGTTCCTGATCTCCAAGAACCGGAGTTAGAACGTATGAAGAACAGCTTGGAAATGCTTCGAAACCAAGTGGTTGAAAAACTGAACCAACTCCATTTCAATCAATACCCCGCCGGTCATTCTGGTTTTCAGGGGCCATAGCATGGGACTAAACCATGTTGCAGATGGGCAAGATATATTCGAAATCATGAGAGTTTTTGTTTTCATACTCTATCTTTCTTGAATTGTTATTTTTATTCAAATTTGTTTTATTATTCCAAAATGTTTTGAGATTATATTCTCTGTTATGCTTGTCATGATCGAATTAATAAAGTTGTTATTTTTATTCTTTTTTTTGTGTTCAGTTTGGGTTATCAATCTTACATCTTGAACCTTTTGTGCAAGTTATGTGTTTTTTTCTAAATATAACACATTTAGTCATTATTCATTAGTCAGGATATAATCAAATAATGTTGCATGCAGAATAATTAAGCAAAACCACTTTGCTTAATGAGAATACCTAATACCTTCAATTAATAAATCAAAACTCTTCTGCAAATGTGTGCAAGGAAAACCCATAATGTTTTCGCGATAGGTGGGTGTTTCAAATTGGAAAATTGAAACACAATAAATATATAACCATTTATATTTTCAGGAGTTTGTTTTGAAGTCTACGTAATTTTAATATGTCACTCATTAGAGATGCACTTAGATATCGTTTCTTATTGGGTAAATTTCAAAAATAGTACATCTTTCACGAAAATTTTGATTCAGTACCTAAACTTCAAAACTTTTCAAAAAAATACTTGAGCTTTGAAAATTTTTCACGAATGGTACTTGAAACCAGTTTTCAGGTAATCAGCAGGTCATTTGGGCCAAATTATAATTTTTTATATTTTATAGTTTTAAATTTGACCCATATTTCTTTTTCTTCTTCTCCCTCCTCCCACTCCCTTCTTTTTATTCTTCTTTCACCGCTTTTCTTCTTCTTCTTTCACCCACTTTTGTTATTCTTCTTCTTCAACGCTCTCATCACCCCACCCCAACCTCCTACCAACCCCCCATCCCGCCCCCTTCCCTTCCTCTTTTTTTCCAACAACCCCCCATTTTTTGATCTCCCTCTTTTTTTGTTTCATTTTTTTACATCTTTTGTTAAGTTTTTTTGTTTCGGTTTTTTCGATCTTATTTGTTTGTTTTTTATTTGTTTTTTATCTTTTTCCCTTTAGATTTTTATGTTATTTGTTTGTTTGTTTACAAAAGGGAAATTATTTGTGAATTTATAGGGAAATTGAAAATTTGATACACAAAAAATAAATTAAAACATAAGTCATTTCCCTATTTAGGTGAATGATGATAACAAAGGTAGACAAAATAATACTTCCTCCGTCCCACTATATTTGTCCACTTTCATTTTTGCACACCATCCAATACACTTCTTTAATCCATTTTATCTTGTAATTTGTATATTAAAAAATTATAAAAATTATATATTAATAATCTATATGTTAAGACAAATCAAACAAGATCACGCATGACTATATTTAGGCTTACACATTGAGAGAATTTGATGAGTCAAAGTGCTTAGATGAACAGTTCCAAAAGTCAAAAGTGGACGAATATAGCAGGACGGAGGGAGTAATAATAATAACTCAAGGAAATAAAGGTAGGCAATGTAGCCCTGTATTTTCAGGAATACCCATCATCAAGTTGAGGTTCTGTAACGCTTGCCCAGATGCGCCCTTCACAAGATTATCAATCTGCATGCAGCGACATAAAAAACAGACTGTTAGAGCGAAAACAAATGCAACAAATGCTTCATCCGATACTCAGAAAGTACCGCGCGATGTCAAACAGACTTACAACTGATATAATAATTGCTCTCCCAGAAATTCGATCTGGAAACACATTCATGAGGCAGTAATTTGATCCTCGGACATGTCGGGTATGCGGAACTTCTTTGTCCTTCAGCAATACTACAAACTCTTCGTTCTGGATGGATTAAAGTGGTTGGGTTAAAGAATCAATTTTTACCCTTTCCGTGTAGAAAACTAAACAAACCAATCATATGTCTCACTCAAGGGTAGAAGCATTGGAAGAAGTTAAAATTTGAAAAGAAACAAATTTTGCAACTTTTGAAAAACAAATCTGATCATTAAGTAGAAAGAAGTTAAGACACAAGCATCAACAAACCTCATAACTTCTCTTTAAGTGATTGTATAGCTCATCAGTTGTCACTCCCGGAGCCATTTCTACGTATATAGTTGATTGCATGCCACGGCTCTACAAATCAACAAGAGAAAAAGAAACAACATAACTAACTACATAGATGAACAACCAAGCCTAGTGGAGATGGAAGCAAGTTTTAGGCTATGTTGGGTTGGATTCTAAAAGGTTTTGAAGGGGAGGTCAGGGGTTATTATTATTATTCACTTTTTATTTAGAAAACTGTTGTAACTTGATAAATTTTAGAAATAAAATATATACGGAAATGGTGAATTAGTATGAAGATTCTAGTCATTTACAATTATTATATCATAGGGCATATACAACTGTCATAATTTAAAAATAAAAATAACACTTCCCCTCCAAAACCCAACTCCCATGCATAGCCTTTGTATTTTTTATTATTACCATTGGCATTAAATGTGGTGTAAAACTAACAGTAACTTTTGAATTTGTAGCTTCTGACAATCCTTGTTCAATCTCTGGAACTGCATTTCAAAACAGAAACCCTTGTAGAAACTCAGTTACTTAGGCATAAGGACATTGGTTTTCCAGAATTGTGCACAAAAAAATAATCAGTAAAATAACTACTTTCCTAACAGACTAAAACTGCATACTACGTAATAAACAAGGTATTCCGTATATAATATGTGGTTCCTTAAGATCTTCAAAATCAGAACTAAACACATCGGGCTGCAAACATGTTTGCATTGTTGAAGCAACGCATATAATGTGTGATTCTTGATGAGAAAAAGAGAAACTAGGAAAATAAGTTAAATGAATATATCATAATTACTCGTATAAGAGAAAAAGAAATTTTGATCATGCCGTATGAACCCTTGGGTGTTTAGTCCTTTAGCAAAGCTTGAAAAATATACCCCCAACTTTGCAAGGCTGTGAGATTCTCGGCCCAAGAGAATTTTAGGGGAATAAAAAACGATAAGAAAAATAACATTCATTAACTTGCTTTTGTCATAGATAACATTCGAATTTATCTCCTTCCGACTTTCCTCTATATTTTCCTTCCTGTTTTATTCCCTAGCTTTTATGGGTTCAATAGAAGCCAGTGAATTCTTAAAATTGCATTGACATTGTTATATTTTTCTTTCTAAACTCAGTGGAAGGTCAAAACTACCACAATCCTTTATTTCTTTACAAACTTTCCACATTATCAGTTATTACTAATGTACTAGGATTATGTTCAATGGAGAATCAAAACTGCATCAATCTTGCAAAGCCGGGGTTACTTTTGTAACTGTTAATAACTGGTGACCAAAATGATCAATCATGCCAAAAATCCTGTTTCCTTTATTATACTCTCTCATTTCCTTTTCAGAACATCCCAAAAAAGACTCTTTTTCCATTTTTGCTACTTTTGTGTGGCCCAACATCTCTTTCCCTCCTATGCACCACTTTTAATCACACAATTTTACTTTGCTTAAGCTTTGTGCCAAACCCAATTGGGAGGCTAGGACGGAGGGAGTAGTATATTCAGTTACAAATATTACCATGTGGCACATTATATTTAATTACTATTACGGCAACATGAAATTCTTCATAATATATTTAGCAGTATATCATTCGCATGGATTAATATAAATGCTTAATAATCACCATGGCGATGCCTTGTAATGCCATAAGAGTGTATCCCTTCTGCAATTTCAGTGTACAAATTGGCTTCTTTTGCACCACGTCCTGAAAGATGACACAAGTGTAGGAAGTTCTTATGTGCTTCTTCAAGTAGCACAAGTGATGTGTAGTGTATATTAAGGGAGTTGTTAGGTGTTTCTTATACAAACAAACCTGCTCCGCTGACACCAGATTTGGAATCAATAATAATGTTCTTGAGTTTGATGAGATTAGCCTACAACAATTGAAGAAACAATTTGAAGAAAATAAGGGATTAAACAGATGTCTTAGATATTATATACCCAAAATGGCACAAGGAAATAAGAGCATTCATGGTATTTGATGTTCTGGGAAACAGGTTCTTTACTCCATGGCTAGAGGTAAGATCTATGTACATCCCCCTCTCCTCCACAACCCAATTCTTGAATTGGCTTTACTAGGTTGTTTGTTTTGGCTTGGGTAGTAAGGATTAAAAAGAGATGCTGATCTGAATCAACTAGAAAATGAAAAACTTGCAGATGTAATAAGTCATTCATTAAAAGAACAACCTTTATCAATGGAATTAGAGGGAGTTGGACAGATGTTGGATAACAACCAGGATTTGCAACCAGTCGTGCATCACTGATTTCCGCTCTATAGATCTCAGTCAAACCATACACTGCTTCTTTCTGCATTCAAGTAGAAGAAAATGTCACCATGGATGGAAGTCTTACAATAAATGCTACAATATAATTTTTATAATCCGATACAGAAAATGTAAGCCATCTTTAGCAGAGGTNAGATGTTGGATAACAACCAGGATTTGCAACCAGTCGTGCATCACTGATTTCCGCTCTATAGATCTCAGTCAAACCATACACTGCTTCTTTCTGCATTCAAGTAGAAGAAAATGTCACCATGGATGGAAGTCTTACAATAAATGCTACAGTATAATCTATATAATCCGATACAGAAAATGTAAGCCATCTTTAGCAGAGGTGGGGCATGATGGGGGGGGGGGGGTTCTTCAAAGTATGTTGAAAATTCTATAACTAGCATTACAGACATCAACGTCATTTATTCCCAGTGACTATATCTATAAAAAAAGCATGCAATATACCTGCAACTCAGGAGCTATGTGAGGGTGACCATACCATTCATGATATTCAGCAACATCACGCAATCTGAAGTCCTACACATTGCATCACATTGGTAGTGCACCATTAATCAATAGTATTGAAAGATAATTGATTGTGAACATGCAATCGAGTAGATTGAAGTTGAATCAGTAAGCATACCGCAGAAAGATCAACAACTTTTAGACTAGTTGGCAGACCTTTGATGATTTCCTAAGAAGATAGAGTAGTTATCAACGGTTGGAAGAACATAAATATAATTTTGCATTAATAGTTATCAATTATAACCAATACAAGTACTCCTTCCGTAACAAATCAAACATCCACATTTCATTCGACACAGAGTTTAAAAAAATGAAATTTATTAGTTGAAAGTGATGCAGAGAAGAGAGAACAATATGGACCACAAAAACTTTTCTAAAATTGGAAAGAGGGCTTATTTTGGGGCATCCCGAAAAGGAAATGAGGACTATTAATTCGATTCGGGACAGAGGGAGTACAAAATATGTCAAAAGGTGTAAGCTTGACCAATTTGAGACACTGTGAGATGGCAAAAAAAGTTGCTTAAAAACCTGTGTTGTTCCATGTGGTAAACAACAAAACACTGCATCAACAGAAGAAAAATCTGCATCTTTGACAGCAACCAGATCTGGCAAATTCTGAGAAGAAAATTAACACAGTTGAAGAAAGTAAAGATGAGAAACAGAAGAAATTTTCAGGGAAACAAAACAATGATTATGGCATCATGAACCTTACTTGTGATACCAGGTGAGGAAATACTGATTGTATTGATTGGCCAGCTTTTCTGTCCGCCGTCATTAGAGTAATTCTGAACTGCGGATGATTTGAAAGGAGTCTGATAATCTGCAAAAAGTTAGGGAATCATTATCCAAAACAAGTTTATAAATACCACCCAAGAATGCAAACAGAAATTTTGGGATTAAGCAATCACATTTGAATTTAGATATCACCAACTTGTAGAACCAGATGCAATTTCAAATGCATATTAATATTGAACTCAGTTCCAGGATTTAGACCATGAGAATGATGAGATCCATTTTCAACACTTATTGAAGTCATTGATAAGGGTGCAAACTATATTAAAAATGGTACCTCGGAACCGGTGTATCCGCTAGCTCCAAGAACACCAATCCGAAACTTTTCGGATTGCTGAGCTTTGGCGGCAGCAAACTGCAAGCTTTGAGGGGATGCCATTGACGAAGCTCTCACGAAGTTTCTTCTCAACTTTGAACTCTTCTTCCATTCAACCTGCAAATAACAGAATTAAGCATTCGTAATCTAGTCTCCATGGAATTAAATCTTGCAAAGTTTGGGGGTGAAATTGATCAGACTAACCTGGAACCTCAAAGGGGAACCCCGATCAAGACATGTCGAGCCAAAAGAACCTAAGGAACTCATCTTCGCGGCTAAAATTAGTAAAATTCGGATGAAAAAATAAACTGTGGAAAATCAAGATTGTAGTGTAGGCTAGTTACTGGACACTGGTAGTAGGAATTGGGAAGAAGATGAGACTAGAAAATGTGGGAAAACGAACGTGGTGAGGTCAGAATTGTGAGAGGTGTGGGTTCGGTTTTTGGACCGAGGAACAAAAAATACCAAGTAGACATTAGGCGGAATGCTTGCTAAACTTTTTTTTAGTTGAATCTTTAATTAAATAAAAATTATAATATGTATGTATTAGTATTAAAATGATTTTCTTAGATTTATTTTATTTAAAAATTTGAACTTTTATTTTATTAGACCAATATTCAATGTAAACTAAAATAATTGAAATTTAAAGTTTATTTAATTTTACTCAACAAAATCAACATGAACAAATATACTAGTACGACGATAATATATTTTGGAATATGAAAGTCTTTCACTTACTTTGGCAGGAGTAAGTTAGGAGTGGACACGGACTCATTCGTGCCAATTTTCTACAAATTTGGTCCCAAATTGTTTTTTCGACACGCAATGGGACGAGACAAATCGTTTCACGGGTCAACGAATCTGAACCTAACTACTCCCTCCGTCCTAAATCAACATTCCCGGTTTGACTTTAGCCCATTTTTAAGAGAAGATTAAATTAGCTTTGACTTGACAAAAATACCCTTCTTCTAAACTTGGAAAAGGGGGATCAGAAGTCTGCAAACAATTTGGAGCAATCCCACCCCACTTCGAAGCAACCCCCAGCCATAGCTTGCCTGAAACCATTTCGCAACGAGCCAAAAATTGGGCAAATGTCACCAAAGTCAAAGCCACTAACGTATCTAGGCAAATCTCACAGGAGTCAGCATATAGCAGCCAATAATCGACATTGCGATCTGAAAGAGATGGCGGCCTCTTTGCAACTTACTACTCAGCGACGGGGCGCTTTGCTCGGCGACAATGGAAGCAACGATTAGATCTATTTTTTGACGGAGAAAAGATTAGATCTAGATATTGAAGGAAAGAGAAGATAAGATCTAGATTTTGAGGGAAGAAAGATGGAGATGACTAAGCCTAGGTTTTGAGAGAGATGGAGAAAAGATGGGGATAAGAAATTGTTGTGAATGAGAGAGAAGAGAGAAGAAGAGAATGTAGATGGGGACGAGTGAGAGGGAGAGACCGATGGAGAGAAGCCAGCAAATCGAGTGAGAGGGGGAGTAACAAAGTCTATTCACATTCTTTTTTAAGAAGTGAGAAGTAGTTTTAGGACGGAGAAAAAAGAGAAGTGGGGAGATGGTTTCAGGATGGAGGGAGTAATTTAGAAGAGTAGGAATGATACAAATTAAAAAGAGAGTAAAAACACAAGTCTAAATTACTTAAAGAAATCACCCTACATAGCACTCTAACTTATCTATTAATGCGCATATAGCACTGCTTATTGTTTTTTTACCAAATTAGCTATTTATGTTGTTAATCTCTTCCAATCATACCTTTTATGTTGTCAATCCCTTTTATCTATCTCACTATCAATTGTTTCAATTCTCTTTCAACTCCTATATCAAATTCGGACTCACATAATGTATACTTTGTGGATAGTGGCATAATACTCTTTTTTATCAAATTCTTTCATCAATCAATTAAATGTAGTTTTGAATAAATATATACAATAAAAATACGATATATCAAAATTATATCATAAAAATATGCCAATTATAAATATTTCCTTCATCCCAAAATAGGGCTCTTATTCTATTTACGATATTTGATTGAAGTTATTTTCAAATCAATATAAGTAAAAATTGGTGTATAATTAAAAAAAATAGGAATTATATATTAAAAAATTACATAAAAAGTTCTATAAACAAGTGGTGACAATGGGACTTACATATAAAACTACCAATGTTATAAATTATTTTTTGACTTTCATATTGTGCAAACAGCTTGTGATTGATTTTATGACAATAGGGTTTTACCATGAAAGAGATTGTTATGAAATGTGTTACTCAATATGGTGGCTATAAATATTTTGGCAGTACGGATTGATCATGTTCTGCAAATACTTTCTGGCAGTGAATTTGTCTTCTATATATAATGTGGCAGTGTATAAAAGTTCGTGGCATAAACAAATTTGTATGTACTTCATTAACTTCCATTAATAATATGGGAGTAAAATTAGACATACATATAAAACTACCAATGTTATGAATTACGAATTGAGTTTCATATTGTGCAAAAGCCATGTGCTTCGTTCTATGACTATTGGGTTCGAACATTCAAGAGTTCGTTATGGAAACGTGTTATTGAATAGGGACTGATATTTTTTTGACAGTATGAAATAATCAACTTCTAGCTACACTTTTTGGAAATGTCCAATGACCATATTTGCCTAGTGTGTTTTGGTCAAATGGGATTTTTATCTAAAAATCCCAATGTAATAAATTATTCATTGAGTTCCATTGGAACCGGATACAAAAAAATCACCAAAATGACTAGTGCTGGAATAACTTTAATAAACAAAGTATGAAGTGTAAGCTCAAAGATTTTTGGGAGTGTGGAATGTTTGTGATTTAGGTATACTTTTTGACAGTGTGTTATGTCTTATGTTTTGGCCAGTGTGCTATGTTGCACAATTCTACATAATGTTGAAGTGTATGATACTTACAAAGTCTTAAAATTTGCAGCATAATACCTTCCATTATTCATTTCTTTTCAGTACCACATAAATGAAATTGAACATATGTCTAATACTAACATCTTCTAACATTATACAAAAGCAAGAAAGACCAAAAAAAGCCAAGCCCATGTTTGGCTAGTGTGTTTTGGTGTAATTGATTATTCATAAAATCAGTCATGCATTTTTGGGCAGTGTGGAATTCATAAATGAAAACAGTCATATACATTTTTGGCAGTGTGAAATTCATACATGAAAACAGTGTGTAATTCATACATAAAAAGAGCTATACATTTTTTTGGGTAGTGTTGAATTCATACATGAAAATAGTCATACACTTTTTGACAGTGTAAAATTTATACATGAAATCACTGCCACATAAATCAATGGACATTACACTACAACATGAAATTAAGGAACACAATAATAGATTTAGACATTGTCGTAAGATATAACAACATATATCCATTCAACACTGCCACATTAAATACTTACATATAAAAAACTACACTGCCCACAACACAATTACGTGTGAACCACCACACTCCCCAAAACAATCATATTTTTTGGTAGTGCATAATGAACATTTGCTGTTTAATTAAAGGTCAAAATTAGAATCATATGTACGAAACATATAGCACTGCTATTTAGAGTAGTTTAGTACTCTAAGAGTGCTATTTTGGTTTTTCTCTCAATTACTTAATGTATAAGTTATATCCTAGTGTTGTTGAATACCTATACCATACATCCAGATGTACATTATTTTACATACACCCGCATGAATACTCATTCTCGAGTAACTAAGTACTCATTTTCGAATAAAAAATAATCATTTTTGAGCATAACAAAAGTTTAGAGAAATGAGTACAAAATTATTCGAGAATGAGTATTCACTAGATAAAACATGAGTATTCAATTACTCATAAATGAGCACTCGATGTAGATGTACAAGAAATATCATACAACCAGTTGTACGATATATATTGCAAATGTTGTTGATTCAAACCTAAGCAGCATATAAATATGGACTCCTGATACAAACAAGGGCATATATAGTACTCCCTCCATCTGGAAATGATCTTCTAATTCAACCTTTGTTCCATCATAAATGATCTTTCCATTCTATTTTTTTCAACACTTTCAAAAATATCATTTTCTTCCTTCCTTTCTTTCTTCTTCATTTTTTCTTCCATTCTTGCCTTCTTTTTTTATCAGTGACTCCTTTCCTCTCATTCTTCTTCTTTTCTCCCTTGTTTCTCCTCATTTTTCTTCTTTTCTCCCTTGATTCTCCATTTTTCCTCTCTCTTCTTTTTCTTCCAGATCTACGATGGTGGGAGAGAGATGCAATAGAGGGACTGACAATTGTGGTGGGGGTTGGCGGAGATGGGATTGTTGTGGGAGAAGGTGGGATTGGTCGAGGTGGTGGGGGATGGTGGTGAGGGACGAACCAACATTTTGGTGAGGGCTAGTGACGACGAGATGCTGGTAGAGAAGGCGGGGTTAACAGTGGTGGAGGGTGCCGGTGATGGGGGCTGGCAAAGATTCAAATGGGGCAATTAGCAGATCAATGGTGTGTAGGGAAGGATATTTTAGACTATTCCACCCCATAGTCAACCACTCTTTAAAATGACTAAAAGTCAAAGTGGAAACATCATTTTCAGACGGAGGAAGTGTAACACCCTAATCCGTCCAGGTCTGCAGCCCCTTTCGGACTAAAGTATTAACTTGGTAATCATAAAATTTAAAACTTTTCAAAAACTTTTATTTATTATAATAATATTTTTCATATCATGAACAGTACAGAGTTTTCAATATTGCGGAAGCTTAACAAATCATAACCACAAACACAATTTATTTATAGTCTTTAATTCAAAACCATCACATCCATTCCGACTATCTCGCCTCCATCTGCCTCCAGGATCACGTCACATCATTCTATTGACCTGCGTGTAGCAAATAAAACACACTACACGCTCAGCGGTAAAGCTGAGTAAGCATATCCAATGCGTCGAACATCCACATAAATTGAATCTCAATTCATAATCAACCATTTGATATCATGCACACAATGTATAATTCATTCATGATATTTTCAATATTTCAATATTCAACATTCATATTCAATATTCAATATTAACAATATCCTTAACTAAACTTAGTCTAAGGCCAATCTTTTGATTCTTACCAACTCTTAAACTATTTCTAGTTCAAGGTACTTCTAACCAACTCTTAAACTATTTCTAGTTTAAGGTACTTCTAACCAACTCTTAAGCTAGGTCATTAGTTTAAGGTACATATTCTGATTGATTTACCAACTCTTAAACTAGCCTTCGCTTAAGGTACAAATCCAGAAAACCGAACAGTAGAATACTAACTGTCGGGTTGGGTGGTATCCCCAAACGAGTTCCTCTAGTTTGGTTTATGGACCCCGTACGTACGTTTTTACCCAAGGCCACCGAATATATGTTTAATACCCGCAAGGCCCATTCTAATCAGAAGTCTATCTTAGAGGTCTTCTAAGTAGCCTTACAATACAATTCATTGATTCATTCTTCTCAATTTAACAATTCATAATCGTCATTCAGAATATTCCTCATCATTAATTCATCACAATCCATGATCAAACAGTCATCATAATATTTAATAACAAATAGTGGCCTAGCATTAACTGTTAACACCCGAACTTACCGTCATGCATCACATAATGTTTTACGTGTCAAAACATCATTTTTATTATACAAAATCATATTTATATTATTCATGTTTAATTGGTATCAATAATAGGATTTCATAGTTCAAAAATCATGTTTTCTAAACAATAATTGATTAATACATGATAAGAAATTCAATTATTAATTACTAGCTTCATTTTCTTCAATAGTGTAGGGAGACAGTCTACTGTCACTTCTGATAATCTACTATCTGATGTTCAGAATGAGCTGATAATCGATTATCACACTCTGTTAATCGATTATCAAACTTCTGAGAGAGCTGATAATCGATTATCACATTCTGACAGTCGATTATTGCTCAGCTTTGTTCCAAAAATCTGCAGAACGATGCATAATCGATTTTCAAGTGGATAATCTATTATCCATCGTCTTCTACCTCGAGTCAACTTGCGGAAATGTCACTCTTACTTACCAAACTTCAATTAAAGAATATAAAAGTGTTCTCTAAGGTTCATAGATCATTTTGGCATCATTAATTCGTAGTTTTAACTTCAAAATCATGGTTTGTGATTCTTAGTTCTTCAAGCATGTCAAACACAAAACTCAACCAAATGACCATTTATGAACGTAAAAACAACCTATATGAACATTCTAGTCATTAGATATATCTACGGGCTTACATCGAAGCTTATTGAAGGTTTTGGAAATTTTCCGGCGAAACTTCCGGCGACGAATACTCCCAACTCCGGCGACTTTACACCAAATTGACAGCACTACTTCACTCTCTACACTCTCAGCTATCTCTTGGAAGAAGATTGGTGAAGAATGGTGAGAAATTGGAGGGTTTATATAGGAAGGAGGAGTAGGAAGAAGCCATGGGAGATGACCTCCCAATGCTGTTTTGGCGTCTCAGTGGGGCGGACGGCGATTGCTTAGGGATTCCAGACGCAAGTCCCTGATTGGGACTAAATTGGTTCCAGTCGGGGTATAATTTTTGGTCCAACTTTCTCCGAATTGAAATTCGTTTACACCGTTGTGATCGTGTAGTTAAACTCTATCCAATGATATAATTTCTATATTTATTTGTTATACTTTTTCCGACATCATATTTTTGGGTGGTTGACTTTGACAGAGTAAAAATTGATTAAGTTGGCTTTTATTCAAAAAGGTTCTCATCTTTAATTCATATTAATTATTATCATGATTTATTTCAATAAATCATTTCAAAGTTCACTTAATAAACAAATTCTCCATTTATTCTTGATTTGGGTCTGTACTCAGGTTCCCAATCAAAATCACACAATAAGTCAACATATTGGATTTATCTCTATAAGATTTATCCAGATTGAGACATTGAATATTTAAACATATTTCATTTTGGCCCAAAGCCCAGTAAACATTTACTTTTAATCAAAACAATTTTGATTAATTGATTATTTATTTATTAATAATTCTAGGGTATATTTTGGGGCGTTACATTTCTCCCCCCCTTAAAGGAATTTCGTCCTCGAAATTCTTCTAAGGTCCGATGTTCAACATTTCGTAGTGATTTCACTTAATCATGACCGTGTCATGTTCAATGGGTTAAACCATAATTACATCATTATCCATACGGATACGTAACTTCAAATTGTCGATGTTATCAAAACTCATTCTTTTTTCAAGGGTTTAAAATCTTTAGATTTAAGCAAGGTATCCAACAATCCTTTTGCAGGTTCCTGTTCAAATTCAACATCCATAACTTAGGTTCCTTCGCAGGGTATAACATCGTATTTGGAGCATATTTCGTTCATTCACAAGTCTCGATTGTTCGTCATTAGTCATCAACATTCTTTCTTTGAAAGTCCTTCAGTAGCATTTGCAGTTTCAAGTTCGCGATAGTTGTAGAGAGAGATTTGGATTTTTGTTTTCAATCCATACCTTGTAGCGTAATCTTTCAAGTCAATCAAAACATCTTCACATCATTCACATAGTTCTGCAATGATTCTTAAGTAACACCAAATGTCTTTTATTGGTTCATGACCTTTTTGGAATATAGGATTGGTCTCCATCTATGAGGAAGTACTGTCAATTGGTTGTACAATAGTTTTCCGTTATTGATCTCCTGTCGAAATAATTCTTTGTTCATCTTCGTAGTAGTCCTCATTATCGTTAATGAGTCTATGTATCAATTCCTATTTATACATGATAACGTTTGAGTATCGTCTCATGTACGTCTTGTCGTATTCAAATTTCTTTCATTAATTTGAAAACATATCTAGATATGACAACGATAGGTTCGATTATAACACTATTGTCGATCTTGTTTCAAGGGAAGAAGAGAATATCTTCAGTACGCGATTCAATTCATGAATTCATAGAGTGAGGAATCTTTACTAGTTCTTATACCAATATCGCATATGGGTTCGGAATCTTCACTTGAATGATTCAGCCTGTTCTTGTGACGTCATATCTTCTCTGGTTGTCGCACATAGATTTCCTTGCTAGGATTCTAACAATATCATCGATAATAATCTTCAGAGATAGCATAATCGTATTGATCGTTTTGTAGTCCCCAAAGAGAGGTTTAACATAATGTTTAAGTCAGGGTAGTTTTACTATTGTGATCTAGTCACGTATTCAATAGGGTATAGTTTCCAAAGATCGATATCATGGTATCACTGAGTATTGTTTTGGTCCTAATGAAGAATCATGGTTTTTGTATTTTGATACAAAGAATGGAATTCAATCTTTTTAAGATTGATCAAGCGAGATGTTTTCAAGGGTGTAGTTAACACAACAAGTTTGAGTATCTCAAGGATATGAGTCATAAGATACAAAGATAGCGTTTGCGAATTATCGTTACTAATCGTAGGTTTTCTTCCTTCAATGTTTCACTCTTTGGAAGTTACTCAAGAGGTCGTTGTCTTAGGTAATAGCCATTTTGACTTTTCGTCTTAGATTTGAACGTATTCCAGGCCATCGAATCTAACTGTTCACGAGTCTCAATACGTCATATCATCAGTAGAGTGTAGTATTGGTGAGTACGTTATTATCAGTAGGTAAATCGAATCCGTCTTTGCAGTACAATTTTTGACTAAGGATAACTACCCTTTTCTCAAAGATCCAATTTCAAGTCTATATATATAGCATGATTGTGATGAGGGTATCTCACATTCTCACATTATGGAAGGAACTTCTCGAACTCTTTCTTATACCATAAGATTCGTTGGTCTACTGGTAGTCATGCTCTTGGTAGTAATCCAAGGTTCATGGCTACAGCGGTCGATCTAGGACGGGAATTGGTAAGGCGAAAAGTCAGGCTTACTTACGGAGGAGGCAATGTTGGCCTTCAACAGTCTATAATAATGGTGGTAGAGTCAGAGGTTTCATACCAGGATATATAGCAACACGACAGGTTTACGGACCTACGTACGGTGTAGAGTACACCGTTTCCAGCAATTACTATAAGTATTTCGAGATGAATCATATTGTGGAAGCCTCCATCGTACTTCATCGTACTTTCCAACAGGATGAAGACAAATTTTTCAGAACTGCAGGGTGATAGTCGATTGTCTGGCCATGATAATCGATTATCAAAAGATTCCCTGTCCAAAAATTTAAAATTCTATCCGTTGGAGGACAACGGTAACCCAGATAATCGATTTTTCAACCAGTGATAATCGATTATTGGTCCTCTCAGAAGATTCTGGGTTTTGGCTGCAAAGGCTGATAATCGATTGTTGCAGAAGTGACAATCGATTATTGCATGCTTCAGAACTTTGAAGTTCAAAGCTGCAGAGGCTGATAGTCGATTGTCACTAAGGTGGTTAGTGATAATCGATTATCACCCAGCTAAAACTTAATTAGCCAGCGAAAACCCGTTTTGAAAAATCGAGGTCCAAAAACGAAGTGTTCCCAAAAGTAAAAACCAGGTTTGAAAAACATTGTATATGGTATAAAATAGTGAAATCAAGACTTGTTTGATAAAAACCAAGTCTTCAGGGTCGTAAATCACGTGCGTACGGTTTTGACCGTTTTTCACGTGTTAGACCGATTGACCAAGATACAAAAGTGGTTTTTATAAAATAATTATTTGGGAACCTTTTAAATATGATCAGAGGTAAAAACAAGGTTTAAAACATTGAGAAACACCGAGTTGGTTCGGGCGCCAAAAACCGAACGCCGAACCCCGAATGCCGTACGCCGATGCCGAACGCCAAACATCGAACACCGAACGCCGACCTAGGTGGTTTTGGCTCTGAGCAAGGACCAGGGATTTTAATTAAAAAATGTTTATTTTGATGCACAAAAACATTTTATGATTTTGTAAAATAATTTTGACTCTTTGAGAACCGAGACTTGAATTGATTGTCGGTTTTGATCACAAAGGACCGACTCGACTAAGTCTTCAATTCTTGATCTTTTCCTTGAGTCTTTTTGGTTTTGTTTCATGCCATTCTTCACGCCTTGAGTTATTGAACGAGACTTTTCATATCCACGGCGGTATGGCAATTATCAAAACCTGTCAGAAATGAACACGACTTTAGTTAAACGTACAAAGTGTGTTCCAACAATTTTCCCTTTTTTGATAATGGCAAACAAGACGGGGATATGCATAGGGTTTTGATCTTTTTGTAAAAAAAATTCCCCCTTAATAAAAGTTCCCCCTTAAAATATGCATAGCTCTTATCTTCCCCCTTTTGACATTAACAAAAAGATTTAACAACAAAAAACCATAAAGATTTTTACTTATTAATTAAGGGAAATAGCGGAGTACCTAACGGAAGCCAATTTAAAAAGCATAATAAATAAAGAAGAGAAGAGAAAAAGAGCTAGAGCTCTATAAATCTGGTGAAAGATCATCGAGAAGTTGTTCTTCGTCGATGTCTTCCTCTTCTTCTTCATCTTCATCACCATCGTCATCATCATCATCATCATCGTCTTCTTCTTCTTCCACTTCTTCTTTGGATTCCTCTTCCTCTTCATCTTCATCGTCTACCGCATCTTCCCTACCAACGTTGTTAGTCCCACTTGGTTCACCACCGAGGTTTGACGGAGGAACATAAGGGACCATTTGAGCGTAAGGGTAGTTGACAAAGTCAAAATACCCGTGAAGCTCACGGCTCAAAATATTGACATTTTGTGCCGTTCGGGACACGTTGGTGTCAATCCGAGAGGGAGTGGCGATCAAAGCTGCCATTTGCTCGGCAATGGAAGGGTTGTTTGAGGCGGCGGACCTTGGTTGGCGGCGAGGACAAGGCTGCAGGAACGTAGCTTCATCGGTTCCCGGGTGGAAGGAGGACTCGTCAATCTCCCAATGCTTCGTCCCTTTGCATTTTGGCCCGATGTCCGTCTTGATGTGGTACTCATCAAGGATCGCCATGGCGAGAAGTGCATAGGGAAGCGGCCGGTTGTCGGAGGTGACGCTACAACAATTGATGTTCACTACAAGAAAATTCATCTTCTGCAACGGAAAAATTTCGTGGCACAATTTAATTTTCCGTGGCAGATTTCTATTTTGCGACGGATCTGCCACGAAATTGTTCCGTCGCAGAAAAGTTGTGGCAGATTCAATATCTGCAACGGACTTTAAAATCCGTGGCAGATCTGCGACGGACCTGCAACGGGATTTTCATTTTTTCCATCCAGCAAAATCTGCGACAGATATAAAAAACCGTCGCAGATCTGCGACGGAATTAGCAACGGAACCCTCCGTCACAGATCAGCGACAAATATAGCCACGGTCATGTCCGTCGCAGATGACCTGTTGCCAGAACCAGAATTTTGCTGTTTTCAGCACTACCTATTAAAATGGGGTGTGTGGGGGGCAAAACACATTCAATCTTCACACATATAATTCCAAACAAGATTTCAAACACCCAAATTGATAATTCAAATCTAGATTAATGCAAACTTCGAATGCGAATGTAGCATAATTCATTATGTTCTAACAACAAATATTAAAATGTTAGTGTCAAGTGTTTAAAATGGAGGAAGCTAAGGTCGTAAATCTCTCAACAAATCCCGGGCTGCCCTGCCCCTCTTGTTCCATCATCATCACCTCGTCGAGGAAGGTTACCACCATATAGCTTCCTTATCTCCTCTTGAATCGTCACTGACAAGTTCGAGGTTAGACTATCAATTTGTTCCTGCAACCTTTGGTTTTGCTCTTTGAGTGCTGATATCTCCGCTGTGCTTCTACTACTCGTGCTGGAACGGCGAGGTTTGGAGGACAGATTCATCTTCCTCATTTCCCGCTCGTAGTCACCAACTCCAAGAACGCGGTTCTTCGCGTTATGGCCCTCAACTAGCGAGTACCATATTTCTTCGTCGGTGACTTGCAGTTCGAAGAATTGAGCCTGAAATACATAATAGTTAATAACACACAGCAATGCAATAATCATTGCGTCAAGAACAGCAATAAAACAAGAAAAACAAGACCACAAGAACTTAACAACTAACATTACCATGGATCAATAACAACGTTAAATTTACTTAGTGTTGACAGCACCATCAACGCAACAACAAAAATAGGTTGTCATAGGACAACAACGCCAACGTTGGCATTGTGAATTATCGCATGGAGCGTCTTCGTGTCCTCTTGGGAGAGAGTGGTGTGATTGAACTTCCTGGGCTTGAGAATCCGTGTCAAAACATAGAAAATGAATCGAAACACGGGACTCATGGAAGCAATCATAGGGCGCCGCTGCTGGGGAGTGGGGACGAAGTTTCGGATACCCACTTCCGCCAAGAGGGCGGTCTCTTTGAACCGCGCTCCTTCATCTCCCACATAGAGGCCGAGATCCTCTCCGTTCCGAAAGAGCCCTATGAGAATTTGAATGTTTTCCTCATTCAAATAGATCTCCACCCTGTTGATGTTGGAAATCAACGATCCGTCCTCATCCTTTTTCAAGTTCGAGTAGAAGGCTCGAACAAGAAAAGGTTTATAATCGTTCTTCTTGATGTAGAGGAGGTCGAGGAAGCGTCCACGTTCAAGGATAACCCATGCCTCACGTGGAATGGAGCCGTGAATGAAGCGGCCAGTGGAGAACCGGGGAGGAAGAATCTCCCGGAGCTCAAACTTCTCCGAGAACCGTGTAGCCTCTTCGAGGTCGTTGAACCAAAGGAACGACCCGTCGAGATATTTATGCCCCGGTGGTGGAGGAGCCGAGGAGGAAGCCATGTTCTTGTCGGTGCGGGAGCGCTTTCTTTGTCCTCTTGCCATTTCAACAAAGTAGGGAGGAGAGCAAGGCAAATTTGCAGAGAAAAATGAAGAAAAATTGCAGGGGTTGATGAAATATGAAGAATATATTGAGAAGAGATGTTTGGAATGAGTAAAAATGGAGTAGATATCACCAATATATAGAGAGGAGGCTTTGAGATCCGTTGGGGAAGTCAAAAGGTGACTTAAATGCAGTTCCAACGGTTTTGAAACGGTCAGATTTTTGAAAATCTACCGTTGGTAGTCGATTTACAACTTCTGTAGATCGATTGTTGACGACCTCTGATTCTCCACTGAAGGACCTGCAGTCTTCAATAGTTGATTTACACCGTGTGGATAATCAATTGTCTCAGGTTTGCGCTAGATTTCAGGGAAGGTTCTGCAACCCCACATAATCGATTATCAAGACTTGAATAATCGATTGTTGAGGTTTGCGGTTGATTTGCTCCAAACTTTCGCGGGCAATGATAATCGATTATCAGAGTCTTGTAAATCGATTTACACCTGGTTTGGAAAAAAATCGATTTGCTTTGTTCCCCCTGACTTTGACACCTGAAAATAAGACTAAAAGACAAACCCTGCAAAAAAGAGTTAAAAACGTCTCCGATGTTCAAGTTAGTAAGGACCAAAGGTGATAGTTAATGCACAAATTAGATCATCGTGGAGTCAAGGATTCCGAGTTCCCTACGAATGCGGAAGAACGACTCTTTCTCTAAAGGTTTTGTGAAAATTTCGGCTAATTGGTTGTGTGTTTCAACGAACTCAATTTCGACATCACCTTTGAGAACATGATCTCTAATGAAATGATGCCTAATGTCAATATGTTTCGTCCTTGAGTGAAGAACCAGATTCTTCGTCAAGCTTATGGCGCTAGTATTATCACATCGAAGAGGAACGTGATCGATACTAAGGCCATAATCCACTAGTTGTTGCTTCATCCAAAGAATTTGAGCACAACAACTACCGGCGGCAACATATTCCGCTGCGGTTGTGGATAACGCAACACTGACTTGCTTCTTACTAAACCATGAAACTAATGAACTACGAAGCAAGTGACACGTCCCACTCGTACTCTTACGGTCTAGTCTACAACCGGCAAAGTCCGAGTCAGAATAGCCAAAAAGATGACAAGGAGACCCTTTAGGGTACCATAGTCCAACGTTCATTGTACCAACAAGAATTTCATTATTCGTTTCACCACTGTCAAATGCGATTCTTTCGGACACGATTGATACCGTGCACATAAACAAATGCTAAACATGATATCAAGTCTACTAGCAATAAGATAAAGAAGGGATCCAATCACACCTCGATACTTCTTTACGTCTACTTCCTAACCCTTTTCATCTTTGTCCAAATGAAGGTTCCTTCTCTCATTTGTTTGACTTGTAAGCCCAAGAAGAAATTGAGTTCCCCCATCATGGACATCTCAAATTCATTTGTCATTAAGATTGAAAATTCCTTGCACAAAGATTCGTTATTAGCACCGAATATAATGTCATCTACGTAAACTTGCACCAAGAGGATGTTATCGTTTTTACTCTTGATAAAAGGTGTAGTGTCAACCTTCCCCATTTTGAACCCGTTGTCCAAAATAAATTTGCTCAAACGTTCGTACCAAGCGCGAGGTGCTTGTTTAAGACCGTAGAGTGCTTTCTTTAGTTTATAGACATACTCCGGTTGCTCAAAATCCTCAAAGCCCGGGGGTTAATCAACATACACTTCCTCTTGAATAAAACCATTGAGGAAGGCACTCTTAACATCCATTTGGTATAGTTTAAAATCCATAGATGAGGCAAAAGCGAGTAATAAACGAATAGCTTCTAAGCGTGCTACCAGTGCATAAGTTTCTTCAAAATCAATTCCTTCTTCTTGATTGTAGCCTTTAGCTACGAGCCTAGCTTTGTTTCTAGTGATTATCCCATTTTCATCGAGTTTGTTACGGAACACCCATTTTGTACCAATTATGGTATGATCATCGGGTCTTGGCACCAATTCCCAAACGTCATTTCGTTTGAATTGGTTAAGCTCCTCTTGCATTGCCAAGGTCCAATGTTCATCATCAATTGCTTCCGAAATGGTTGTAGGTTCAATTTGAGAAACAAAAGCCATGTGACCTACGGTGTCCCTAAGAGAGCTACGAGTACTTACCTTTCGGTTGATGTCACCGATTACCTTATCAAGAGGAAGGTCCTTTGAAGTCCTCCATGCCCTTGGCATTGACGTTTCTTCCTCTTGTGGTTGTTCCTCATTCATAGGTGGCTCTACTTCTTCGTCTTGGCCTTCCTTTGAGTTGTCTCCTTCGTCATTGTCGTTGAGATAGATGTTCTCTAAAGAATCTACAAGAACATCACAAGAAACCTTTCTTGCCAAGCGAGTATCATTTTCGGCAAAGACAACATGAGGAGATTCCTCAACGGTTAAAGTGCGTTTGTTGAAGACTCTATAAGCCTTACTACGCAATGAATAACCAAGAAAAATTCCTTCATCCGACTTAGCATCGAATTTGCCCAAATTATCTTTTCCGTTATTGTGAACAAAACATTTGCAACCAAAGACTCGAAGATGGGAGAGGTTTGGCTTTCTTCCTTTGTATAATTCGTATGGGGTTTTCATGAGTATCGGTCTAATGACGGCTCGGTTTAACACGTAGCTCGCGGTACTCACGGCATCTGCCCAAAAATACTTAGGATTTTTTGCCTCATCAAGCATAGTTCTAGCCATCTCCTCGAGACAACGATTTTTACGTTCCACCACACCATTTTGTTGTGGTGTACGTGGAGCGGAGAAGTTATGCTCGATGCCTAGTTCGTCACAAAACTCGGTAAAGAGATCTCGTTCGAACTCTCCTCCATGATCGCTTCGTATGGCTACGGTGGTTAAGCCTTTTTCATTTTGAACCTTATTGAGAAAAGTTTTGAAAACGTGAAATGCCTCACTTTTATGAGTTAGAAATAATGTCCATGTGAATCGAGAGTAGTCATCAACAATCACAAAGGCGAAATAGTTTCCCCAAAAACTTTTTGTTCTTGATGGTCCAAAGAGATCCATGTGCAAAAGTTGTAGGGGCCTTGTTGTAGACACAACATTTTTCGATTTGAATGAGGCCCTTACTTGCTTACCTTTTTGACATGAATCACAAATGGTATCCTTCTCAAACTTGAGTTTTGGAAGACCAACTACTAGGTCTTGTGAAACCAGTTTATTCAAAAGGTTCATGTTAACATGGGCTACTCTACGATGCCATAGCCACATATCGTCCTCCTTACTCATGAGACATTTGGCAAAGTCGGAGGGAGAATCATCTAAGTTAACCATGTAAATATTATCAATTCTATCACCACGAAGAATCGTCTTATTGTCACTAAGACGTTCTATCGTGCATGATTTAGAATCGAAGGTCACACGATTCCCCTTGTCACACAATTGACTTATGCTCAAGAGATTGTGTTTAAGACCCTTAACCAACAACACATTATCAACAGAGGAGGTTTCGTTTTTACCAACCGAACCAATGCCGATTATCTTGCCTTTGCTATCATCGCCAAAGACAACGTTTCCTCCTTTACTTGGTTTGATTTGCAAAAACTTGGATGCATCTCCGGTCATGTGCTTGGAGCATCCGCTATCAAGGTACCAAAATACACTTGATGCCTTTAAGCACACCTACAAATCAATTTAAAAAGATTTAGGTACCCAATTCCTTTTGGGTCCATGGGCGTTAGGTGCACGTTGGTAGTGTGATTGGTTTTGAGTACAATGCCTATGCCTAGTGAAACAAATCGGGGCTATATGTCATACCCTATTACAATAATGACAAACAACATTTGGATTATGCATTCTCCTAGGTTGATAATAGTTACTAGGTTTTCTATATTGATTTATCCTAGTTTGAGAAAAATTTTGTTTATGCATATTTGGAAAATGGTTTCTAGGTTCTCTAACTTGACCATTGGTTATCCTATTGTTCTTTCTAGGTGGTCTAGTGTTCCTAGTTGTTCTAGGTTGTCTATTATTGTTCATTTTAGTTTTCCTAGGTTGAGCCTTAGGTTGTTTAGGTGGTTGCTCAACCTTTTCCTTATTATTAGTTTCATTTTCAAAACCTAAGCCATGTTTAGTAAGTTGCAAATTGTCAAGAACATCATTAAGGTTTTTATGAGAAACACCAAACTTCTTCAAAGTTCCTTCAAGTTTTGCAACTTGTTCCTTAAGTGATATACAAGAACTACATTTTGAACTTTCCGGTTTGTTGGCGCTTCTTTTTCCGAAAAACTTATTTTCTTCTTTAAATTTTTCATTATCTTTTGATAGTTTATCAACTTCCTTCTCCATGGAAGTAAGTTGTTTCTTCAAATCCTTGTTAATTTTAGAAGCGTTGACATATTCATCATAAAGTTCATTAAAGGCTTCTTGTACATCATCAAAAGTATAGGAATCTTTAGAAGTGGTACATACCTCTTCCGGTGGTTCCTCGTGTGCCATGAGGCAAAGGTTGGCAGTTTCATTTTCTTCGCCTTTCGATGACTCGTCGCCGGAATCACCTCCCCATGAGATGTAAGCTCGGTGCTTCTTAAACGATTTCTTTTCCTTCTCGTTCTTGGCATTTGGGCTTTTTGGCTTGATATGCCCAACTTCTCCACACCCATAGCACTTGGGTTGTCCTCCATGCTTTTTGCCCTTTCGTTCATACTCCTTACGCATGAACTTGTGGAACTTTTTGATAACGAGCCCGAACTCGTTGTCTTCATCACTTGATTCCTCCATGGTGGGTTCTTGGCTTGAGGAAGCCTTGAGTGCAATCCTCTTCTTCTTTTGTTCACCTAAAGAAGGGAAAAGGATGGTAGACTCATAGGTTTTGAGGTTACCTCTAAGCCCGTCGATGGTGACGTTGGTGACGCCGATGGACTCTTGGATGGCATCGGCTTTGGAGCGCCATTCCGGTGTGAGACTCTGCAGGATTTTTCTCACGAGCTCCTTGTCCATGTACGTCTTCTTGAGAGCATGGAGATCGTTGACGATTTTGGAGAATCGTTCAAACATCTCATCGATTTTCTCATTCTCCTTCATACGAAACAATTCATATTCATGGGTTAGAAAATCAATTTTAGCTTCTCGGACTTGATCCGTACCTTCGTAGGTGATTTCTAATTTGTCCCACATTTCCTTGGCGGTGGAGCAACAAGAAATTTTCCGGTAGTCATCCGGGTTTACGGCACAATAGATGATGTTGATGGCT